AGCGACATACATACTATTTATATTATTATACAAAAACTCGGTTTTCTGAGGATTACAATATTTGCAAATCCAGTAGAAAGAGGTACAGGGGTTATTGATGTTGACAAGTTTGTTGAGCTTTACTGCAGCTCTAGAAGAGTTGGTATTAAGAGACAGAAACTATCCATTCTTATCTCCTTGTACAAAGCTCAAGACCAACTGGATCAAGAACCTCCACATAAAACCAGATACATGGAAACTAATAGAAGAGAAAGTGGGGAAGAGCCTCAAATACATGGGCACAGGGGAAAAGTTCCTGAACAGAGTACCAGAAATATTTTTAAACTGGGAGAAGAAAGAGGAAGGCTAAGTGTCTAAGCAGACTTTGTCGGGAAGACAGTAAAATCTAGAGGTCATATTTACTTAAAATATAATAGTTTTGCTACACAAAGTGAATGGAGGATATTGTAACAGTTGGGGCAGTACTAGGGAATAACAGAACAGGAAGAGGTCAGAAGGTCAGACTTCAGTGGCTGGAAAGATCTTGGTGGACTTTGTAGCTTGTCCCCAGGCCTTTGGAGTCTGTTGTGCAACGAGGAACACAGGTTTAAGCAAGGGATACACCATCATTTCATTTATATATTTGAACTCTCATTATGCTCCATAGAAAAAGGAAGGCAAGACCAGTTGTTATTGCAACCATCTTAGCTGGAGGTGGTAATAAACTTCTGTTTGGTTACTGTAAAAGGGGTGCAAAGAAGAGAGATATTCAGCTCATCTTAGAGAAATAGAAGCAAGTGATTTTGTTAATAGTTTGGAAGTATAGTAAGGTAATCAAGGAAGAGTCAAGGGCAATGTGTTCTTTCCAGAGATGAGAAAGGATGGCCGAAAACTGAGTGTGTAGGCGGAAGTGTAGAGAGGCAAGGTACTGCTGAGTTTAGCCACTCAGTGTCAGCTCATGGTAAATGCATAGAGCTCAGAGAGGTATTAGAGAACAAACCGAGCCACACAGAGGAATGAAAACTTTCAAAATGTTCAGGATCATCCCCTTGAGTATATTTATATCTGGCAAAGTGCAAAACATTTTCACATAGAACCAATCAAACCACATTGGCTGCACCTGGCTAAGTGGAGGGCATTCTGACAGTTTCTTCTCTTACCTATGAGTGGGCTATCTTTTTCTTGTTTGTTAGTTGTGTGGTCACTTTTTGGAATCAGGAATGGTTACCTGTTTCTAAGGGCAGTATTTATATGTGGCTGCTTCAAAGCTATCTTATAGTCTGTGGTCTGCCTCATTTAACTCAGCTGACTGATAATTGCTAGTTACCATTCACTTCCCTACTTCTATCCTGTCTATCCCTACAGCTTTCTGTTTCTAGCAAGAGCATTTGGCTGGTTTTCAATGCCTTCCTTGGGTTTCTGAATGCTAAGAGGCAGAAAAATGGACCTTCTTTTCTTTGAGTGGGACAGCTAACTTTCTGATTGTAATTTTTCTTAAAAATGGGAAGAAAGCCAGGTATCAGAGCATTGTTTCTTTTTACCCTAATGACCAGCTCTGATGCCATCAATACAGATTCTGTGATGTTTTACTGTTAGTAAATGACATGTGTTTTACTGTAACACTTTTATTTGTAACATGAAAGCGATGTCCACGGGTGGCCATTCATCTGCCATGTACACGTGTGGCAATCAGAGACAAATCTGAAGAGCTGGGTCTCTCTTTCCATCTTTATGTGGTTCCTGAGTTTCGGTCCATGGAGCTTTGTGCAGTGATTTTCTTTATCTACGGAGTTCTCACTTGTCCATTGACGACAGCTTTCAAACTGTCAACCTTGTGAGAGCCCTGTTTTGATGATCATATGCCATTATTTTTCCTGAAAAACTAGATGGGTGTGGAAGTAAAAGATGGAGAAAATGGAAATATTCTTTCATTTCCCATCTCTGCTTTCCCACCCCACCACTGCAAGCTTAACAACATATGCTCAGATTTCCGATTTAATGTGCTTTCCCCATGTCAAGAGGCAGCAGGTTCTTCACTTTCAAGGGTCCCAGGTAGGCTCTGGCAGCTGAATCATGGGTAAAATGGAAACTCATGGAAGTGTGTGTGTGTGTATGAGGGGGCTCGCTTTTTCTTCAGCAAAAGCAATGCTACTCCTGTTTCCTTAATTATTAGACAGATGGTGCTGATGCTACCACTGACTAGCTGCCCAACACATGCTCTTGGGCAGTGGCGCAGTTCTGGACATGTGACAGAAAGGAGCTGACTGCCTGGTCACACCCCCTCCTGTTCGTTTATGCCTAATGCTTTGCGAATGCCCAGCTGGGACCGCAGTAGGCTGTTTCCCATAAAAAGGAATCTACAACTTAAGCCACATTTTCCCACTGCCCCCATGAATCCATTTTATTTCCTCTGTCTCCTCTTGGCATATTTTATTGCTCTATCTCTACACACAAAACACAGTGGCATTTTGAGGCAATTATTCAAGTACTCCAAGCTATAAACTCACTTTAACCTGAAGCACCAAGATAATTGAGACAAAAATCAGTTTATTACTATCTGTGAGAGACAAATGACAACCCAGACAGCCACCGTTCAAGCTGAGCAAGAGTCTATGCTTCTAATTCCAGGAACACTTTGACATCATCCGAATCTGCTGAGCAGCTTGGGAATTCTTTTGCATAAACTGCCAACAAAGTTAGCTTAGTGGTTTTCCAAATGCCACATACTGTGGTATGTGATCATGTAGTCATTAATAATAGAGGGGCTTTGTTCATTGTGGGTGTGCTTCACTAGCTGGGCTTCCTAGCTCTGCAAAGGAACCTCAGCAAATAGTGTAATTTACCACATACAAACAGTAACTGTTGACTAACAATACTTGTGCACTGGAGTTGGGGGGGGGTACACTTTTCCTCCAGTATTCCGTATGAATCACAGGCTGGCTTCTAAGTCCCCACAGTTTTCCTGCTTCAGCCTTGTTAATCCTGGGGTTGCATGTGTTGCCACTCCCAGATAGATTTTTTAAATTAGTTAAAATACTTTCTGTCTTTTTTATTCCCAATGTGTGAACATGTATGAGTGCAGGTACCTATGGAGTCCAGAAGAGGGCATCAGATCCCCTGAAACTGGAGTTAAATACAGGTGACTCTGTGCCACCAGATGTGGGTGCTGGGAACACCTTGGGTTCTCTGAACAAGTAGTATAGGCTCTTAATTGCTGAGCCATCTCTCCAGCCCTTTGCCATCTTTTTTTCCTTTTTCTCTATATTTTCAGCCTGTATGTTTTTTAAAAACTGGCTTTGTGCACTAGGTAACTCTGAGATTTTTCCCTTCGAGAAACATTAAGACAGATTTGAGCCTTCAAGATGCCTCAGTGGGTAGCAGGTCACCTGTTTACCATCAAGTTTAAAGACTTTAGCTTGGTCCTCTGGAAAGGAGAGAGTTGGCTCCTCTCTCTCTCTCTCTCTCTCTCTCTCTCTCTCTCTCTCTCACACACACACACACACACACACACACACACAATTAAAATGTAGCTTTAAAAGATGGGTGTGGCTTCTCTGTTGCAAACAGAGACCTTCCATCTGGAGCAGGGTGTGAAAGAGCCATTGAAATGGGTTTCTTGCTATCTGGGGACACTCTCACCTCCAGGATCTTTAATAGCTCAGACAGAAGTGCCCTTTTTCAAGAACGCAAGCCTGCATGCGAGCTTTCATCCATCAGAGTCATCCACAGACCCCAGCATCAGGGCTGTCGCCCCCCACCCCCTTTAGCTGGTAGGACCCATCTCTAGGGATGGAGTAGTCCAGCCCTGAGCTGTGCCTCCAGTGCCTGAGCCAGCAATCTTAGGGAGTTCCCTCAAAACCCAGTCAGAAGCAGATCCTTGGGCCCTTGCAGAGGCCTGGTTCAGAGTTTCTAAGCACTCAGTTCCACTGGTTTCTCCCTTGCAAAAACAGCAGCCACCATGCATCAAAAAGAAAGATGATTTTAAAGAAAAATAAGAAAAGAGCCTCACTTTCTTCCTGTTCCTACCCGGTTCCCCCACCAGCCCAGTGCTCGCCCTCATCTCTGATACTGTAGTCTCTCCTCAGGCTTTGTTCTTGGGTGAAACTTAGCAACTTCTGCAATAGGTCTCAGCTTTCCTTCCTTCCTTCCTTCCTTCCTTCCTTCCTTCCTTCCTTCCTTCCTTCCTTCCTTCCTTCCTTCCTTCCTTTCTCTTCTTCCCTCTTTGCCTCTCTCTTTCTTTCATTCTCCTCTTTCATCCTACTCTTAGCCATGAACTGGATACAGAGAGGCTGGGAGGCTCTGCTTCCTACCTCTGCAAAAAAAGGGGTCTGCATCTTAGGGCAGCTCGCGGTGCGCGCATGTACAAGAGGGGCGTTGTGAGATCCACGAAGGAGAGAGTGAAAAGAGGGAGAGGGGAGTGGAGATAAAGAGGAAAAGTGGGAGAGGGAGAGAAAGAAGAGGGGGAGGGGAAGAAAAAGGGGGAGGAGAAAGGGGGGAAGAGACAGAGGGAGTGGGGGGGGAGAGGGAGGGAGGGAGGGAGAATATGCTTGCTGCGGTGGGGGTGGGGGTGGGTAGGAGGGAGGTGAGGGGGAAGGGGAGGCCAGCCGCCTGCCCGCCCTGAGCGCCTAGGGATGCCCTGAGCTCGCCCAGTGCCCCTGGCTGTGGCAGTATCAGCGTTTTCTGAGCACCCAGTGTGTTGGGCAAGTGTTAAAATCCCGAAGTAGGAAGAGACCCCGCAGGATATAAACTCGGGCTGAGGGAGGAGCAGAGGACTTTTAAGAGAGAAAGGAGAGAGAGAGAGACAGAGAGAGAGAGAGAGAGAGAGAGAGAGAGAGAGAGAGAGAGAGAGATTGAAAATTCCAAGGCTGATCCTGCTAGAAGAAGTCTTCAGCTCGCACTCCTGAGTTCTCTGTCCGGCTGAAATTTCGCGTAGATGCGGGAGAAGTGATTCCGAGAGTGGGCTCGAGAAGGGCGCGGACCCGCGAGTGGGACGGGTGGGGGTTGTCCGCAGAGCACTCAGCATGGCAGTGCGGGGCGAGGCCGCCCAAGACCCGGCCAAGCCGGGCCTCGGAGGGGCGAGTCCCACCCGGGTGGCCGGAGGGGACCACCGCCATTGTGGCGCGTCCTCTCCATCCCCTCCCGACTCGGGCTGTTGTTGGGGAGCCCTGGCGCTGCAGCCGCTCCGGCGCTCGCCGCAACTCTCCTCGGCGCTGTGCGCCGGCTCCCTGTCCGTGCTGCTGGCGCTGCTGGTGAGGCTGGTCGGCGGGGAGGTCGGAGGCGAGCTGGAGTCAAGTCAGGAGGCGGCGGCCGAGGAGGAGGAGGAGGAAGGAGCCCGAGGGGGCGTCTTCCCGGGCCCTCGGGGAGGTGCTCCCGGGGGCGGCGCGCAGCTCAGCCCTTGGCTGCAGCCGGCCGCGCTGCTCTTCAGTCTCCTGTGCGCCTTCTTCTGGATGGGCTTGTGCCTGCTGCGCGCCGGGGTGCGCCTGCCTCTGGCCGTCGCGCTGTTGGCCGCTTGCTGCGCCGGGGAAGCGCTGGTGCAGCTCTCCTTGGGCGTGGGGGACGGTAGCCTGCTGTCGCTGCCCGCCGCGGGGGTCCTGCTCAGCTGCCTAGGTGGCGCGACATGGCTGGTGCTGAGGCTGAGGCTGGGCGTCCTCATGGTCGCCTTGACTAGCGCGCTCAGGACGGTGGCCCTGGTTTCTCTGGAGAGGTTCAAGGTCGCCTGGAGACCTTACCTGGCATACTTGGCGGCCGTGCTTGGGCTGCTGCTGGCCAGGTACGCCGAGCAGATCCTGCCGCAGTGCTCCGGGCCGGCTCCGCCCAGGGAGCGGTTTGGGTCCCAGTTGAGCGCGAGGACCAAGGAAGAGATTCCGGGGTGGAAGAGGAGGAGGCGGTCCAGCTCGGTGGTGGCCGGCGAGATGTCCGGCTGCAGTGGCAAGTCTCACCGGAGGACCTCCCTGCCCTGCATACCCAGGGAGCAGGTAAGCTGTGGCTGCGCCTTTGGGGTTGCTCCGGAGAAACTTGAAACAGTCAGAGTTGCAGGGAGTGGGGCACAGGCGGCCGAGAAGCCAGCCTGCCAAACAGTAAAACTTTAAACTTACTAAGAAAGATTTCTTGTTTTCGCCCCTTCTCGGTCTCTTGGAGTAGTTTACACCCAGAATAACAGAAAACAGGAAAAAGTAAAAAACTGAATGGCCTTTCTCGGACTTCCACAGCTGGGCCATGTTTTCAAATGTACTACACCTGGTTTTTGAGTTCCTGCCTTTCTTGAACGATTTCTGCCCTCTCTGAATTTTTGGAAGTAACTTATTTATTTATTTATAGCAAAGCGGCTTTCAACACGTGCGTTTTCTCTATTTCCGTGTCGTTTAAAAGATAATAAAATTTTGTTTCTTATTAAGTGCCAGGTAAACATCGCCATAAGCTAGTAAAGAAGTTTCAGTAGCCAGGCAAGGCATCCTGGATGGTCAGGCGCTGGACTTGTGCTCCGCTCCTGTTTTTGCAGTGATTCTTGTTTGGAGAGACAGCATCAGAAGGCGGCCAGTCTGCCTTTAGATATACTTTAGTTGCTCCACACCCCTGAGTTGAACTCTGAACTGAGGTTTTACACTTTAGGGCTATGTGTGAACTTTAGAACGGTACAGCATTGGGCGCAATGCTTTTATTGTTCACTCAGAAAAGTAACCTTCCTCATGGGCATTTATACAACACCTAAACGGAGAGAAATTCAAGAGACTTCCTCGGGGTTTGCAGGAAATATTGATCCAGACTCTTAAGAGAGTCTGCTAAGATATGTGTCTTTGAGGAAGGAGGAGGAGAGGGAGTGGAATTCGGGGTGAAGTTTTAGCAGCAATTTCGCAGTTTTTATTTGGGGGGAGGTGGTGGCAAATGTCTTTAGTGTCATGGGATAGTTACCCTGCATGGTATAGGAGAACCATTTCCAAATGTAAACACAAGCTGCAACTAAGGTCTTTCCTCCTCAGTTTTCTCCACCAGGTTTGACATTTGTTGAAGGGGTTGGGGGAGCTGATTCTGCATTCTAAATAGGAATTTGTACTTTTTTCTATTTAAATTCACACCTACCCATGATCCCCTGAGGATAATGTTCAAGTTGAAAGGCTGTCCCTATGATATAGTAATCGGTTTCTTTTAGGGTTATCCTAGGGATGAGTGGTAGCTATTCCTTAGAAATGTATCAGTCACCATATGGTGTGAGTGTTTGGTTTGTTTCTGAAAGGGAGTTGATCACACAGACGGATAGATAGCTCTTGGACTTTTATGTCGTGGGCTGAATGACAGCACCCATGCTTGTGCTTACTTTAAAACAAATGTACTTATTTAATGTTTTTTGATTGTTTGTTTGTTTAGCAGAAACAAACATTTCTGGGTTTAAACCTGTTCTAGGGAAAGGGAAAAATACAGGCCACTGACTGATGCTTCCTTTGTGTGGAAATTTGGAGATTGTTAGAATCAGTTATGTACTGATGAGAGAGAAAGAGAGAGAGAGAGAGAGAGAGAGAGAGAGAGAGAGAGAGAGAGAGA